ACCAAAAAAAAAAAAAAAAAAAAAAAGCCAAAAAATTATTTTAAAAAAATTATAGCTGGGGATTTAACTCAGTGGTGCCAATGCCTACCTCACAAGCACAAGAACCAAGTTCTATCTCAGGTACCAAGAAAAACAAAAAAAAACAAAAATAAAAAAATAACATAAAAATATATAGAAAATGAAAATAATTTCCTCTCCCAAGAAAAAAATTACAAGAGTTAGGTCTGTACTATTTCAATGTGAGTACATGTATGTTCCTAGCAAGTAAGAGCACAAATTTTAACATTATACATTGTTATTTAAGTATTCATAATTATAGCATAAATAAATCTGCAATTTAGTTAATCACTGTTCTCACAAAAGAACAAGGACATACTGCAGTCTTAACTTTTTCAGACTGAAATTCTGAGCATGCATTAAAAACTTACAGTCATACTGATACTTCTTACTAGATTCTAGATTATTTCCTAATAATTTAGTTAGTCAACTATGTATCAAAAGTGTTGCCTGGCAGGGTGGCACACGCCTGAAAACCCAGCACTTGGGAGGCTGAGGCAGGAGGATCAGTGTGAGTTCAAGGTCAGCCTGAGCTACACAGTAAAACCCTGTCTCAAAAAAAGGGGGGGTTTAGTTTCAAGAAGCCTCTGCCTAATAAGAGCCAAAGGATAAGTGATAACCTAGAAGACAGCAAGACGAATCAACAACAGTCAGTCACCTGGCAGGGTTAAGGTGGGGTCCAACCTGGACTCCTCAGGACTGGCCGCTGCAACAACTTCCTTTCCTCCTGCCCTTCCCATTATCAGCCAGACACACACCTCAAGCTCCTGACTGAGCAGAGGTGTCTGGTCTGGTCCTTGGTCCTCTTTTACGTACCAATACTACTCATTCTGAGGATCACACTACTAGCAAACACCCATCTGAGGTGCAGTGACCTAAAGATTTTATGAAAATAGCTCTTCCTCTCCTTACCAAGAGCTGTGGAGATAATTGATAGAAAGATTTTTTTAAAGCAGTAAACTCTTATGTTTACTTTAGCAAGTTTGACTAAAGCTCAATAATCCTACTGCCTTTCTCTGATAACTGTGAAGTGATGTAATGGAAGAAGCACTCACTCTGTCACCATTCCTACCTGAAGGTAATGTCTAATCCTGCAAGTTATTTTAAAATGCTCACTCTCCAAATTATAAAATAAGGATCATAAATAAACTACACAAAGTACAGAAGGAGGGAAAGAACTGAATGACTTTATTTTCCAAACTTCCAGGAATGCTGATGGGCACTACTCCAGGTAATATCGGCATGAGTGACACAAAAAATTTACACCATACAATTCAGAATTAACAGGAACAAAATTCAAAACTGCTAGTACAGAGAACCATCTAAAAATAGAAGACTAAAAATACATGACTACACACTTTGACCCAGCAAAATCTCTTTTAGAAAATGATTCTAGGGAAATAATTAGAGATGTGTTGAAAAATTTGGCTGAAAGATATTACGTCAAACATTTCTTATCTTGGCAAAAATGTAAACAATCCAAACGTCCACATTCTGTGCTATATTTATACAATGGAACAGTACACAGCTTCTTCGAATAATATAGACAACTTGGTATTTACTGATAGTGAAAAGACTCTTAGGATATCAGCAGTCAAACCACAAGTTACAAAGGATATGTAAAGCATGCCGCTTATTTCTATAATAGGTATGTATAACGTGTGATAAGTAGGTTAGGGTTAGGTAAAATAAAAATGACTCGCTTACCATTTCTGGACTTGAGATCTCTGTGAATCACCTTGACAGGAGCCTCCATATGTAAATAGTGCATTCCTTTTTGTACAAGAAGAAAAAAAGGCATATTAATATTTTTCAACATAGCACCAGTATCTTTAATATTTTTGCAAAGAAATTAATAGCAGAAACCAAGTCCATGCGTTTTATTCTTCATGGGTTATAAAACAGAAACAAACAGGATATATCTACAGTAGTAACATTTACTTACGAAAAATGTACAAGCTTTAACTCTTGGAAGATGTGGATAAAGCCAGCTTCCTATAATACCTAATAAGGGCACCTGAACTTTCTAGAGTCTGCATGAAAATAGCACAGTAAGCAGTGAAAGAAATGCTCAGTGACTAAGGTATTCCACTACTGCCACCTTCCACGTCCGCCAAATCCCGCCCAGGGGCGCAGCTCTTGTTTGGATGCCCGTGATTACCCAGCTGCAGCTCGGTTTATTTTCTTGGTATTCACTCCATCAAGACCTGGGGTGGAAGACAGAGTGTGGAGAGGGGAGCCTGGAGGACTGACTGATTGTGGTTGGTCAAGGATTTTATGACCTTCAGAAAACAAAAGAGGAATTGTAAAATATTTTACTCTTTTCACAAAGATAAATCTTAGACATAATCCGTAAATAGACTTAAAAGTTCTAACATACTTTTAAGCTGGGCGTGGTGGCACATACCTGTAATCCCAGCCCTCCGGAGGCTGAGGCAGGAGGATCCCTGTGAGTTTGAGACCAGCCTGAGCTACACAGTGAGTTCCAAGTCAGTCTCAACTACATAGTGAGCGCCAGGGATTTAGCTCAGGGGTTCTGCTGCCTGCCTTGCAAGCACAAGGACCCAAATTTGATCCCGAGTACCAAAAAAAAAAAAAAGTTCTAACACTTTTAATATAAATCAAGATACTTCATTATAACCTAGTTTTATTGTTTTGAATCAAAAACTGTACTTGAAAAGACTACCTCATGTCTTAGTAGTGTTAGACTCTTAGTAGTGCTTGACTTTTTTGATATTTATGTGTTATCACTACTTGAGAATAAAGAAAAAGAACATTTTAAATGAACTTTCCTCTCCCTTTATTTTTCAAGTTCTTTTTTCTAAACAATGGAAGAAAAGTCCTTTCCACCATCAAATCAAACAGGCTCCCTCTGTGAATGAACACTGAACACAATTTAATAACTATGGTTTAGCTTTTTAAAGTATATAGCACATTTCAATTTTATAAAGGTTAATTTTTAATAATCTATTATTCTTCTACTTTTCATGAAGAATCATGAAAGAACAAAGAAAATAAGATTTAAACTCTTGCCATATAATGATATCACTGAAAAGAGTTAACAAAAGTATTAGTAATTTAAATGATCTTAAGCAAAGTATAATTGGGATAAAGGGAAAATCTTTTAATATGAACTTCTACATACGTTAAACTGTAAAAATTCAAAAGCTTTACAGCTTGGATGACATCTAATAAGCTGTATGATTGAATTTCAGGCTATTTCTCTCTTGTTTTAGATTCAAATTCCTGAATAACTTTTCAAGTTAGAATCTGTTTAATTACTATTAGAGGTAGAGATAGTTTCTATACTTGCTAACAAGTAAGGATTTCAAAAAGCAACACTCAAATATAAAAGATTAAAACACAGGTACTTTTCTTTTTCATAGTGCAATATTATAAGCAAAAGTGCCATAAATTATTTGTGAACAATGTACAGTATACATTTAAATAATACTTAGTGTATACGTTAGCATTGTAGTAATCACAAATAATATTAATTTACTTTTATAGAGATATTTATAATTCTACATTTATTCCAAACCATTAAGAAGGTTAGCAAATACTTCTATCAGGTTTAACATTGAAGGTTTTCTAAAAATGGTTTGACAGGTGTCATTGAGGAGACTTGGGAAGAATTGGAGTCAGTGATGACCACTGAGTCTAGACACAGGTCGATCTGCTTTAATTGTTCCTCTTATGCAGTGGTGAACGACGTGAGGCAATTTCAGCTCCCCTCTCCCCATTCTCCTTCCTACCCAGAATGGAGATAATCTTTTCAGCTTGGAGGATGTACTCTCTCAACAGCAATGAAGTTGAGCAATGCCTATTTCAAAATGCATGAGCCAACTCCTATTTGGATGAATTATTCATTCTTTGATTTCTCAACATTGTTGCTTCAGTGGCTTCAATCTCAGTCAAATTGAGAAGCGCATAGCTGAATTTGAAACAGAATCAACAAAAGTCAAGTCTTCCTATTTAATCTCTAAGTTCTATACCTGGCTTTTCTGGAGAAGGTTGAAGTCATTCTAAAGCATTCATTTCTTTTCCTTTTTAAAGCCATCAAAAAGGATTTTCAAATGTTACATAGAACTTATGATTATAAATAAACAAACCTCTTCTCAGCAGAGACCAAACACATTGGCACTTGCCCTTCAGATCAGTTCAACAACCAAGCCGAAGAAATTTCATTACTTTGTAGTTTGCACTCTGTTCAGAGGGTCCACTCCCATTCTCTCCTTCCCTATCCTTTACCTCTGTTCCTTCTCCTCCCTACCCTCCGAATGCAGAAAACTAGCACTCCTGAAAACCTCCAGAGAATGACAGAGCTGTTCTGGAGCCAAGATACTGGGCCCTCAGAAAGAACTGGTGTGGCAGGGGTGGGGTGCATTACAGGGACCCTGAAGTAGAGAACAGGAAGCCAAGTGTCCACTATCAGTGTGTTTGTTTGATGTCTACATCCTAATACCGTTAAGTAATAACATGGGTATATTTGGCTGAGCACCCTAATGTAAAAGTCTGTAAGGTAAAGGGCCATATGTCAAGAACTGCCTGCATGTGCATTTCCATCCACAAAAGTGATTTCCATAATGCTGCAGGCAGCTCCCACTAACAGCACATCATCTTGCTCACTTACACACAGGTGGTCCTGCGTGTTATTGACATGCAGAGAGCTGACTATGATGCTACATGAAAATAGCTTGAAGAATATGAAATTCAAGGCTGATTTGAGATGCACGATGCATGAATATACAATTATGTTCATTAGCACAGCCAAAGCTTTAAGTACACCATCCTAAACAGAGCTTATTATTCTTATAAGGTAATGAACTGTCATTTGGTAGCAGCATCTAGCATGAAAACTTTAGAAAATTTTTTTTCTTACTTTCTCTATTTTAAGAATTTGGCAGGTGTTGATGAAACTTGAAACAGTCAAGATAAATCCCCAAAGGAAAGACTTACTTCTGGAAGACACTGTGAAAGCGCAACTGTGAGTGGTTCTCTTTACTGAGTAGTAACACTGTATTTGCTTTGTAAAGATATACTACTGTAAATGGCATAGTGAAATTCAAAGGAGTTAATTGTCCCAGGGAAATGTGGAGATACTTACTTCTTGCAGGTTGCTAGAATACAAATGTAACTATCAGCATTCATTACTTAGATCAACTTGTTTCCAAAGCAACTTTGACAGTTATAAATAAAACTAAAAAAATGTTCAGTTAGGAAAATGGAAAAAAAGATAAAAATAAATGGAATTTGAACTGCTTTAGAGATTATTAATCTACACAGAAATATATGGGGGAAAAAGAACTGGGCATCTTGTTTAAGGACTTTATGTATTAAAATACTTCATTTCCAAGTATGATATCCAAGTTTACATTAAATATAAAATAAAATCTGAGTTGCCCACACATAGAAGGACAAATAAATTTTTGGCAAGTGCTGACTATTTTTAGCATATTATGTATACAAAATGAGCAGAGTTAATCCTACAATAAATGTTTTTAGATACTCAGAGAAACTTTCAGAACAAGCAATGAAAGTGAGCTGCTCAATTACAATGTCACAAAACGTGGCAAAAATGTATGCCACTGAATTTACGAACAGAGAAAAAAGAGAAAACAAATTCAGAACTAGAAAGGCAATGACCTAAAATATCTGTATGGTGAACTGAAGAATTCTTAATACTTTTGATCTGCAAAAACAAGAGTATCTAAAGACACAGAATAACACTTTCGCCACGTAAGTCCCTAGATCAGAATAGGAAAATGCTCCCACCAATTCTGTAAGAAAACACCACGCAGTATTACCTTTGGCTACATCCGTGGCCCAAGTCATAATGTGATCCATATCCATCTCCTCACTCCTGTTACTGTTGATGTAGTCATAGAGTGATCCCAGAGAAGCATATTCTATTTCCAAAGGGAAGATACGCACATAATTAAAACTAATGTACATGTCAGAAATTAGACTTCACATTTTATCAAGAAAATGTTTTAACATCAAAAACATCAAATTATATAAAATTGTTAAATGCTGTGGTTTCTAAAAGTTAATAATATTCTAGAAAAAAAATCAAAGACAAGATCACCGACACAGAATGAATAATAAACTTTAGTCCAGAATCAGAAGCTATTTATCTGGAACTCAGAACCACAGAGAGGTATTGGAAAACTATATTTGAAACAAAGGCATGTATACAAATATTTCTTTAAAAGATGTTATTCTTATGAGATGGATAATAGTAAACACATAAATCAGAGAACTCATGACAATGCCGACAAATCAATCCTTGTTACATCAGTATTTAGAAGAGCTCTCAAAATTTGAGCACCAAACATCAAGAAAGTGATAGATTTTACTGCACAAAATAAAATGGCCATATTGAAGTCTGTGTGTGTGTGTGAGTGTGTGTGTATATACACACACACTAATTATAAATTATATACTATAAAGTAAATTATATACAATAAAGTCACTGGCGATAAATGTATAATTTGATGATTTTTCGTAAATTCAGAGTTGGCTGACCATCATTACAATTCAAATAGTTCTCCAATGACATTTTAGAATTGCAGGGTCATATGGTAAGTTTGTATTTAAAGTGTACAAAACTATCAAACTGCTTTTCAAAGAGGCTATATCATTCTATAGTCTCTCTAAAACTGAAAGAAGATTTCAGTATTTTCACACCTTTGTCTGCACTTGGTACTGTCTTTTTTATTGTGGCCATTCTAGTGGTATCTCACTTTGGATCTGCATTTCCCTAGTAACTAATAAAGTTGAACATCTTTCACTGTTACTCCTTTATATATGTTATTAAGCAAAATGTCTATTCAAATCTGCCAATGTAAACTGGGTTGTTGTACTGAATTCTAGAAGTTCTTTTTTCTACATACAAGTCTTTTATTAGATATGTGATTTGCAAAGTTTTTCTCCCAATCTGTCACTGATCTTTTCATTCTCTTAAGAGCATCATTTTTCAAAAAGCAGAAATTTCTAGTTTTTATGAATCCCAGTTTACTGATTTTTCTTTTATGGGCCTGCACTTTCTATCATATTTAAGACTGACTAATCCAAAGCTATGAAGATTCTCTTTTATTTTTTCTTCTAAAAGTTTTAGCACTTATTCTTAGGTCTATGATCCACTTTGAGTTAGTTTTTGTGTATGGTATGAAATCAGGGTCTAATTTGTATGTGGTTCTCTAATTGTCTCAGTATTGTATAAATTGCTAAACTGTCTTGGTACCTTTGCTGAAAAGCAATTCGTGAACAATGTGAAATTTTTCCCCCTACCCTCTTACTTTTGCTCCATTATTTATTATGCTTCTAGATATTATGCAGATATCATACTATATTAATTATTGCAGATTTATAACAATTTTTGAAATAAAACAGTCTAAGTCTTCAAACTTAGTACTATTCAAATGCTGGTTTGGTAATTTCAAGGTCTTTTGCATTTTTGTGTGAATTTTAAGATCAGATTGTCAATTTCCATTTAAAAAGTCTACAGATATTTAGAGAGGAACTTCCATTTTGACAATACTGAATTTTCCAAACAATGAGCATGTAATGCTTCTGTTTATTAAGATCTTTAACTTCCCACAGTAGTATTCTCTACTTTTCATTGTACAAATCTCAACACTTATTTTGTTAACTTTATACTCAATGATTTTGTTCTTTTTGAAGCTACTATAAATGGAACTGTTTCTTACTATTTTTAGGTTAATTTCTAGCATATAGAAATATAAATGATTTTTGTATTGTGACCTTAGGTCCTTATGATCTAACTAAACATGTGTGTTAGTTTCAGTATTTTTGTGTGAACTCCTTAGGAATTTTTTACATACAGGAATATAGAATGTTATAAAAGACAGTTGTAATTCTTTCTTTCCAATATGGATGCCTTTTATTTCTTTTTTATGACTGACTGAACTAAAATCTTTAGTACAATGTTGAATACTTTGTGATCAGAGTAGAACCTCCCTGACTTATTTTCAGTCTTGTGGAAAACATGAAACTTTCCACCATTAAGTATGGTTTAATTCTATCCTATTCTATTTATTTTATTTCAGACAGAGGCTGATCTTGACCTTGGAGCAATCCTCCTGCCTCAGCCTCCCAAGTGCTGGGATTACAGGCATATACCACCACTCATGGCTTAAGTATGACTGATTTTAGATGTACATTTTTGTAGATGCTATGTAGCAAGGGAAAAGGGGTCTTCTAGTTGAGAGTTTTCATTGTCAGTGGGTGTTGTTGTCATGCGCCATTATTTCCGGGTTCTTCATGCCCTGCATGAATTCCGGAGGTGAATCCGCCGGTGACGGTGGTTCACGCCCGCGCAGAAGAGGCGCTTGGCTCGTCAGAATGACGCAGGCCGGCATTGACCAATAGAAATGGGCCACGTCACCCGAGAGGCTATAAAAGGCAGGCTCGCATCCGGCTCGGGGTCTTTCCGCCATTTTGAAGAATGCAGAAGAAACTCCAATAAAGCGTGCATCAGAAGAATCCTGAGTGTTGCGTGTTCCTTGCTGGCGAGGTGCGCGTGACATGTTGTAGTCTGCCAAATTCTTTTTCTGCATCTTAAAATATTCATATAAAATTTATGTCTTTTATTCTATGATCTATTATGGTGCCTTACATTAAGTGATTTCAAATGTTAAAGCAGTCTTGTAATTCCAGAAAATATTCCATTAGGTCATGGTGGGCTTTTCTTTATGGAAATATTTAAAATTACAAATTCAAAATCTTTTTCTTATAGGTCTATTTAGCTATTTTTTAAAATCAGTTTTGATAACTTGCATTTTTTTTAGGAATCTGTTCACTGTGTTTAAATTTTCTATTTGCTAATACAAGGTTGGTCATAACAAACAAGTCTTTGATGGGAGAGGAGCAGTTTTGAGGATTAAACTCAAGACATTTACACACTGAGTTACATCCCCAGCCATTTTCAAATTTTAAAATTTTGAGACAGGGTTTCACTGTCACAAAGTTTCCCAGGCTGGGTTCGAACTTGCGATCCTCTTGCTTCAGCCTTCCAGAATGCAGGGATTACAGGCATGCAACACTACACCTAACTCTGATAATCTTTTAAAACTTCTGTAGGAGTCATTGCCCTGTCCTCTCTTTAATTTCCAACTTTGCTAATGTGTATCTTCTGTTTTTCCTTGGTCCATCTAAGAGTTGTCAATTTAGTTGATCTTTATAAAGACCAAAATTTTCATTGATTATTCTGTTATTTTTCTATTTTATTGAGTTCTAACTTTTATTATTTCCTTCCATTGTATTACTTTATTTCTATCTTGCCTTTCTGTAGTTCCTTAAAGCTCGAAGAAGGTTAAGTTATAAACATCAGATTTGTCTTTTTTTGGATACAGGTACTAAAAGCAATAAATGTCCCTCTGGGTGCTGGCTTCACCTACATTCTTTAATTTTGATATGACTCATTGTTCTTTCAGTTTAAAATATTTAAAAGCCTGTTGTGATTCCTGTCTTGACCCAGAAGTATGCTGTTTAATTTCCAAATATTTGGGGTTTTATCCAGATTTCTTTTTGTTGATGTCTAATATAATTCCACCACAGTTGAAAAACACAGATTATATGATAAAATCTTTTAGATTTTGCTGAAACTTATTTAATGACCTAACTTGTGATATATCTTCAAAAAGCCCTCATATGAAAAACATCTTGAAAAAAACATCTATTCTCTGCTGGGTGATGTGCCCTATATTTGTGACTTAGGTAAAATTGTCTGAAAATGTTCTCCAAGTCTTCTACATCCATGCTGATTCTGCCTAGTTTTTCTACCCATTACTGTAGTGAGAGGAGGAATGAAACCAGTTATTGTTGTTGTCTATTTCTCTTTTTAATTCAGTTTCTATTTCACATACTTTGAGAACCTGTTGTTAGGTATATTCACTTTACAATCACTATAAATTTCTGACATACTGGTATCTTTATCATAATAAAATGGCTATATTTCTCTCTAGTAATATTTCTTAAGTCCATTTTGTCTAAAATGTATATAGTTGCTCCAATTCTCTAACATTACTGTGTGGGGATTTTCCAGATTTCTTTTATGTTGTTGATTTCTAATATAGAATGGTATGTCTTTACCCTTTTACTTTCAACCTATTTGTATCTTTTAATCTAAGACATGACTGTTGTAGACAGTCAAGTTGGATCTTGCTTTTTTATTCAGTCTGACAATCTCTGCGCCTTTTGACTGAGATGTTAATACCTTTCACACTTAATGTAATTATTGATACAGTGGGGTTCACATTTGCTGTCTTGTTTTCATGTCTTTCTTCCTCAGTCTGCTGCTCTTCCTTAATGCTTTCTTTCGTTAATCTTTTTAATGTATCATTTCAATTCCTTGGTTATTTTTTTACTGTATTTGAGTGACGTTTTCAGTGATGAGAGGGAATTTAAAATGTAACTTTCATCTCAAGTTAATACTAATCTGAAATATAAAAGTTTTATATATTCTTATTATTATATATTATATATTCTCCCCAATATAATTTCTCTCCCCTCATCATTTATGCCATTATTGTGACAGATTGTATTTGTATCTGGTTTTTTATTTGTTTTAAAGTTAATGTAAAATTAATTGCTTTATAAAATTTTGTGTTTTAAAAGAAATTATGAAGGGAAATAATATATTTAAGGAATCTTTCATATTAACTCACGTATTTCCCATTTCCTTTACCAAGTACTTCTTTCCATGGACTTTAATTATCTTGAGTCATTTTCCTTCAACTTGAAGTACACCCTCAGCCCAGTATTTCTTGTAAAGCAGGTCTTATTTAGCAGGCATATCTAAGAATATCTTTATTTTTATTTCATTTTGAAATGAAAAAATGCTGCACATTTTTTGCATTTAGCACTTTAAATGTCACTTTATTGC